ATATATAATTTATGAGCATCGTCCATAACTAACTGCACGGGTTTTCTTTTCACCTGAAATGATTACAAAATCGTAACTGGAAATATACCTGGATAATGGCAGACGACTCATACTGATATATCCAGTTTGTGTGACTGGGCCAGGAAATTCCACTGAAAGCCAAGTGGCCAGAAAAAAAATACTTGCCACAGAGGAAATCGAAACAGTCCAAGGCTCAGAAAGCACTTGTATCAGACTTGTGCTAAATGCTACTTTAGCATTTAATGCAAATGAGGCCAATGGTGTAAATATGAGAGGGACTACAACAAACAGTTTCATCAACAATAGATGCTCCCTTTCCAGCAAACTTCCATTTACTAAAAAACGAAATTAATGCTTGACCATTTTTCTCTGTTGTTTATCAGTACTACACTTCATGATTTTTATCATTGAAGTGTCAATTAGTCGACAAAAACAAAATTTTAGCAAAATTCATAAAAATAATTTCAGAGCTGCTTTTCATCAGAATTTATTTTCTAAAAAAAAGGTCGGCATGAAAACTGTAAAAATCACTCCAAAAAAGATTTTATTTGTCAGAATATTTTCACAAAATGTTTTGAATAACCTTTGACGCCAATACAGCATTAGGACGAGCAAAATTTTTTTTTAAAAAAAAGCTCAAGTCAAAAACTGAGAAAAACTCAAGAATTTGGATAAAAAAAACAAAACGTTCGAGCTAAGAAGCTAATAAATCCGCTTTGTCTAAGAAACACAAGTTTCCTAGGTGCACCGATTCATTACCCAAAATGTTTTCTGCAAGCACAGATTTCACAGATGCAACAGATTTACAAGGAAAACATCTGTACTAAATTCCTTCCGTTCCGTAATAAATGGTAGGAAGAATTCAGATTCTCTTAACAGCTATTATTTTTACATCTTTTCCCATTTAATACCGGTGAGGAAATAAGGCAAACGAATACCTGTCTTGTTGCGAAACGTGTGCATCTAAAATACAAGACAACACTGTCTTCGTGCACTTCCAAGGCAAATTTAGCCCACTGACCGGTAAATTCGGGAACTAAGAAAGAAGCTAGCGCCATGGTGTCGGTTTCCTTACTCGAGTCTGTATAAAGCAGTGAAATATTTGTTTGGCTGTCACCTGAAACTCAATTAAGTTTAACCATTGATAGATCGAAGGAAAGACGAGTTTTACCATTCCGTGTTTGAATGTGTGTGTTTATTTATAAGTGTATGTGTGCATGTGCATTTGTGTGTATTGAATAAATTTTCGGAAAAACAAGATCAGAAAAACAGAAAATATATTGTTTCTCCTCTCAAGGAAACGCGAAAAGTCTGAGAACAACTCTTTTCTCTAAATCTAGGCTTATTATTGCAAACTCAGTGACAAAGGAGAAACTAGAAACTTGTATTTTAAGCTTCTCATTTTGGTTCGCACATTAAAAGTAAAGAGCATAAATTTGTTGAGCGCCGTATATCAAAAGACTATTTCACTTTCGTGTTCTCTGCTGTGGCTCAACTTGAAGCTGAAGTTCTAGATTAAAACTAAGCAAGCAATAAGTCAACATACGGGTGGTTGAATTTGTCAACAACAAAACAACAACTAAGAGCACGAATTCTGACTTATAAATTCACATTCAAATTTAGCTGTCGCCCACCTATAAAGTAGATGAAACATAGGTTTAAACTTTTTGCGTCATATATTCACCTCGCCGGGAGGAAAATTTCTAGGCGCAGTGCAGAGAGATTTCTCAATGAAAGATTTCTAGGCACAGTACAGATTTTTTGCAACAAGAATTTTTCACTTACTACTACCACCCACCATGCACTCTTTAAACCCTAAAGACGCAGCGTGTGCTACTATTTTTTCTTTTTCTTTGTTTAAGATTTTGAATAGTTTTTTTAAAAACTCTTCGCTACTGCATAACCAACCGAAAATTCCTTGTCTTTTGAAATTTTTTTGAATTGTTAGAACAGCATGTGAAATTTAAGGCCTTAAAACCAGCCATGAAAGCAGCGTGTGTAATCTACGCCTCTTAGTAAATTTTTTTGCGTGCAAAAAGTGGGGCTGTTTACGCCACAAGTTCTGGACATCAACTAAAATAAAAGGAACTTGAAAACTGACCAGCAGATTCCAGTGCCACACCGAGATCAACGACTGTATCGAGAGGATTAACAACAGCGAACAAATATCCTCCTTGACGATCATCCGGTCGAACCACTGCCGTAAAAGCAAAATTTCGGAAAAACTTCCGTGGGAGGTATTGCCGGTACGGTACAACTATTTCGATCCCGCGCTGTAATGCAGTAAAAATTTTTTAAAATAACCTACTTCGCATGGATATTTCTTCCAAAACTCTGAGAATTAAATGAGAGATTGTCCTGCATAATCAAATATACATTTCTGCGTAACTTTACCATGAAGTTACTATTAAATTCGGCATGCCGATAAGCTGGAGTTCATTCCTAATTTTCCAACTATGCAGCTGGCAGGTTTTTCAGATACTTTAAAGCAGCGTTGTGTCTCCTGTTTTTCAGCTTGCTGGCAACCCTGACGTTCTCTTCTTTTTTTAAAGATTACCAACTCATTGGTTTTTCCTGACAAAAGCAACTAATAGGGCTTAAGCCAGTTCCAGACGTACTAATTGTGTGTTGAATACCATCAGCTCGTCCAGGATGTTGCTAGTCTTAGATTACAACGTGGTATTTTACCGACTAGGATAAGGTAACTAATGAAAAACCGAAGAGTGACGGTACGGATAAAAAATCCTATATAACTATATTTTAAACTGTTTGGATAGCCATAATCCGTTTAGATAATATGTGGGCCAAGATCATTGTCGTGATATTCCGTCTTTCTACTTCCTACGGCTTCTGAGCTGGGTGTGGGGAAAAAAATCCGAACAAGCACACAAACACTCCAACAGCCTCTTGACAATATGAATTTTTATGCGTTTTTGCCTATATGCAAATTGCAAAAACACATATTACGACGACTCTGTCTGTGTGTATGTGTGTGTGTGTTCATCTGTCCGGGTATTTCAACTCGGCAACCAAGCAACTTCCAGCGCCAAGACTTTGCTAGTAGTTTCCCCGGCTAAGTGCCATCCCAGAATACGGTACCAACCCTCACGCAATTCTGGGCTCCGCGTACAAGGGGGCAAAGTTTTGGCGGAAAATTGATAACTCGGGAACGAGAAAAGATAGAAAGCCCCGTCCACAGAGAACTCAGAGGTTTCAAACTCAGCCCCCAGGTGTGCGTAGTTCTCGCGTACGGCTCCGTGAGATTTTTTGGCGGGGAAATGGCTAACTCGGGAACTAGCAAAGCTGGGAAGCTGAAATTTTCAGGGAATGTTCCCAGGCCACGAACGACTTAAAGTTGTCAAGTTCATCCTCCAGACATGCGCCGTTTTCACGTACGGCCCCGTGAAAGTGGCTAACTCGGGAATCAGCTAGGCTGGGAGGCTGAAATTTTCAAGGAATATTCCTAGCATAAGTACAACATAAGCCCATTCAAATTCAGCCCACAGTCGTACGTAGTTCTCAAGTAGCGTCCTGTGAGATTTTTCGGCGGCAAAATGGTTAACTCGGGAACTAGCAAAGCTGGGAAGCTGAAATTCTCAGTGGATGCTCCCAGCCCATATACAACTTAAACTTATCAAATTCAGCCCCCAGCCATATGCGGTTCTCACGTATGGTCCCGTGGAACTTTTTTGGCGGGAAATTGCTAAATTGTTAAACCGCTAAACGAAAATTGTTTACTTCTTTTTATGCAAAATTTACGATGATCTACGGTATTGGACGCACAAGGTGGATACGAAGAAACAACCGTTCATGCAGTTAATCTAATTATTTCAAGCTCGATGCAAAAACGCATAATCGCACCGGCTCGCCTGTTGTGTCTCAACCTGGGTTGCATTTGCATAACGGTGCAAAAACGCAGTCACAAATAAATTTCTCAATTAATAAACTGGAATGTTCGATCTTCCGCTCCATGCTGCACAAACGTTTTGAATGATGGTGTTTCATACAAACTACAAACATTCACAGACAAGATTGTCAAACGTGGCACACAGAAGGTTAGGTTAACAATCCTGTTCTGAACCATTTAAATCCTAGCGCCATTTTGCTTTTTCAACAAAACAAGAGATCACAAAATTTTTAATCCCAGACCAAACGCTCGAATGAAAATGTTAAACGGTGTTCAAGAAGAGCCTACCAATGGGAAAACAGTGAAACACATAGTAAAACTCGTGAAAAATTTCGTTTCTTCTCACCTAGATGCGATTGTGCTTGAAACACCGGTTATATAAAGCTACGAAGCAGGTCAATTAGCTTGTCTAGTAGTAGCGAATCACCAGAATTTTAAGACAGCAGTTAGTTTTCTTCTCATATCATAATATCAAGTTGAATTTGTATTGGTTACATGGACGATAAAACTTGAACACAAACTTAAGGTTGTTCATTCAATGCTACGCATTGAATCCGCGTCTCAAATTTGCGGCCATATTCCGTCCATGGGGGATCTGTGCGGGTTTTCAAACTTCGTAACTAGATAAGCGAAAATGGCAAGACTCCGTCAGTACAGTGCGCTTCGAAAATAGTACTTCGAAGCTATTACTTATTCCACAGACATGGCGTTTTCGCCGTGAGTTTTTAAGCTGCATATTGCACATCACCATTGGTATTTAAGATCCTCCAGTGATTACTGCACAGTAGTTAGCGCAAAGGTATGTAGCAAATCGAGGCGGAAGAAGGGTCCTGTAGGAGGAGGTAGCGGTGAAAAAAAACGAATGCTCGCTCAAATTCCCTAATTCGCAT